CCCCCCAACCCCCGAAAAAGCACAACATTAAACACAACCAAACAAATCAATGCACAGCAAAACAAAACAAAACAAGCAATCGACTTATAATGACGACATTGACATTGGTCTTCCTCTCCTCAGGCGCATGTCCAAACTGCAGATCCGGAAGGCGACGGCGAAGGACGAGGGCGTGTACGAGTGTGTGGCGAGGAACGCCGTTGGAGAAGCAAGAAAAAAGCTCGAGATCAAAGGTAGGTACCGTGCTTTGGTAAACACCCAAAGCTTTTCCGTAAACCTATCGCAAAAAGACACCCTTTGCTGTCAATGTATAATGTTACTGCGGGATGAAAAATACTCTTGTAAAGAGATAGAGAAACGGTGAACGACTTTCTGATCAGTCATTCTTGAAAAAAGAACAAGAAAAAAGAAAAACCCAACCATTCGAGTCTCCACTGTCAATACTGCAACAAAGCCTCCTGATTTTACCTTTTTCGTGATGGCTTTGATAAGACACTTCCTGTTTGATTTTGTCTGGAACTCTTGCAAACTACCTCTGTACATTTTTCAGTTTTTGTCTGCCCAGTGTGTCTGGTCTGTTATATATTTCACCAATAGACGAGTTAGCTATGTCCCTATTTTCTTTCCTTGCAAGTTTTCGATGTCCTTTCCAAAATTGTTCGTCAACTCAACAGTTGACGCTAGTCTGGAAGCTCGGTTTATAAAAAAAAAATCATTTTCTATAACAGGAATGGGTCTAGAAAAAATGAATAGGAATCCATGATATATCCTCCTATTTATCACATTCGTTGTTTTTTTTAACGTAATATTGTCCTGCTGGGTTTGTTTTTTTTAAGGAACCTGTGGTTTGTTTTAGAGTTGGAATTTTCAGTTGCGTGTTTACGACATTTTTATAGTAAAGACAAACATCAGAGATTGCTCGATATTTTTATCACTTCACGGTGTTAATTTTAGATCCTTGGAGACGATGTCGAAATGTCTCGCTGGTTGCACGTTCCTTTTTCTTGTCGTGATTTCAAATTCTGCAGATGCTTTTACGTTCTGCAGAATCTTCCACCTTATCTAAATTTCTCTTTTAACACCTTTGCTGTGCAGTTACCAGTACAGGGGCAGTGCACACTAGGAAAGTATGAGCTAGATATACCCTCGTTCTCAAGTTTTGATATCTGTGGGCTCAGTATGCTATCTTCTCAATGTATCAAGATGAATGTTAGAACTATGTTTGGTTTGATAGGCAGTTGTCTTCATCATGTCGGGTAGGTTGTTGCCCGAATGAATCACATTGCTGCCTAACGTCCCACTTGGTAACAGTGTCAAAACAACGTCTCTTCGGCAATAATGCGCGCGGTGGAAGAAGAAGCAGGCATTGTAATACCAAACTTGCCACTGTACGTACACTTCCTTTGAGACCAGATGCCCCATTATTTCTCTGTGTTATGTTCGAAAAAGTCCACCTCACAAATGACTGCTAGTATCATGGCCCTTCGGGGTTTTCTCTTTGTTTATAACCTTTGTTTTGTCTGCTTCTGGCATGCCTACTTGTAATATCATGGTACCCGAGCTAGAAATCATTCGGCGTTGTTACAGGGTCTCTGGTAAGTTCTGCTATGGAAAGTGCCTTGCCTTTTGGTCTGCAGAAGAATCGACTTTTCTATGTGTGCACACAATCGAAATGAACATATGTCCTTTCTGTGTTCACATAATCGAACTGTGCATACTACGTCCTCCTCTTTGTGTTCACACAATCAAGTTATGGAATCTAAAATTCCTTTCTGTTTGCCCCCGCAACCGAGGAGAGCTTCTGCACTGGTCCTGTTGAGCATACATAATCCTTCTTTTTTTCAACAGTGTCATTTTTTCAGGTTTCTCAATTGCTGTTGTCTCATTCCAATGAGTTAATTTGTGATTTTTGTGTCTGTTGTCGAGTATTTGTTTACATCTATACATGTCTACGTATCTGTTGGACGTCTCATATCAGTGGTCAAAATGTCCAAAGGTTACTGACTATGTGGTTGTATTTGTTACTGTGTACTTGAATCGTTTATCTTGTTTATTCCACTTTTAATCTAAAACAGTTGTTTGAATACACAATGAAGACTAGGGAGGGGGTGAGAGAGAGAGAGAGAGAGAGAGAGAGAGAGAGAGAGAGAGAGAGAGAGAGTGTGTGTGTGTGTGTGAGAGAGAGAGAGAGAGAGAGAGAGAGAAATAGAAGGAAATAAGAGAGAGAGAGTGAGGCCTGAACGATAAAAGTCATTGGAATAGTAAATTTTCTAAGTGGAATTGGTAAAAAAAACTTTGTAAATTATCCCGCAGGAATAAAACAATATTTCTGGTGCTCAAAAATAGAACACAATTATAAAACAAAAAAGCAGTTTGAGGTATGACTATTGAAAGAACACCCATGGGTTATTAGGACACTTCAAGCTTTTACAGCACTAATGACAAACGTACTAGGCATGGTTTGAAATAAGATTATCCGATCATATTTTAGAAATCTAAAAGAGGATTGTGTCATTAGCTGCTGTAAAACAATGAACCAGGCGGTGTCGGGAGTGTCTTGGTCCGAACCAGAAACCTGAATGATTATTGTGGTCTATTTCTTACTGTGACTTTGTCTAATGGTGAAGTGATGTATGCAAACCTCAAGGATACGCCTTTGGGGAACAAGAATTGGCTTGAGCAGTCAAGGGACCTACTCTTGTGAAGTCGTTGGTTACTTCCATAGAGGATATAGACTCTATGACAAACACAGGAACACTGAAGCATCGCTTTAACCCCTCCCTCGTTTTCCTCATTCCATCAGTGAGACCCAGGTCAGAGTCCAGACTTAGGAGCGGGAACAGAAAGATGGGTAAACCGAGGAGAGGTGCGTACTGAGGAGGTCTGAGGTGCACTCACTCACCTCTGAAGGCGCGCGCGCGCGAGCGTGTGTGTGTGCGTGTGCTCAGTATGTGCGTGTGCCTCCCACATACCCAATAGAAAACACAACTGTTCGGTGTTGTTCTCTGCGCATGGAGTGAGCGGCTAGTGGCTGCACGTATAGATTTTTGTACTCACCCGTCCCACAAGACTCCAAACTCCCCGCCCACTTCCCAACTCCCCACCACTCCTTTTTGTCGTCTTTTCAAACTTTCTTTATGTCTTTTTGAAACTCTTTCGCCGTGTATTCCCTATCATGCTGTCCCCTACCCTTTTTTTCGTTTCATGTTACTTTTATCCCCAATCTATATCACTGTTTTCCATACTCTGCATGCCAAGTTTTTGTTCTCTATCTCACTTCCCAAGTATTATATCCCCAGTTGTCTGTCTCCCTCGATAGACCCATTATTTATAATTTTTGTCAACCACTTTTCCAATTTTACTTTGTCTCCCTCTCAAAAGATATCTTTTTCAATTATTGTTCTCTCTGTTCCTTTCTCTCTCTCGTGCCCTTTTAATGTTTCCATCCATCAAGAAACATCTAACATTATAATTTATCTATGCTTTTCAAGATTGCATTTTGGACAGTTCAGACATCAGTTCACGATGACACCAGGGCTCGTAAAATCCCAACTTGATGTCTTCCTGTTATCTTCACATTTGAAGTTCATACTTTGCTCTTGTCTGACTTGAAAAATGAGCACACC